GCGCAATCTGGGGGTCCCCCTGGACTCATGACTCCTGCTCAAAGAGCAGGTGGCAGTCGTGGCTAGGGGGGGCTTTGCACAAATTCCTATTGTGCATCAGTTGCACCCATTCCTAGATCAGAGGGACCTACTCACAGTCACTCATGCCCTGGTCACCTCCCGATTAGACTACTGCAATGAGCTCTACATGGGGCTGCCATGGAAGAGTATCTGGAAACTTCAGCTGGTGCAAAATGCAGTGGCGCGAGCAGTTGTGTGTGTTTCTAGTAGAACACACGTTACACCTCTGCTTCGCAAGCTGCATTGGTTACCAGTTCATTTCTGGGTCCAATTCAAGGTGCTGGTGTTGACCTTTAAAGCCCTTCATGGCATGGGGCTGGGCTATCTGAGGGACCACCTCTCCCCAGTTTCATTTGCCTGTCCTACCAGATCCAGCAGAAAGGGCATGTTATGGGTTCCGTCGCCTAGGGAGATACATTTGGCAGGTCCCAAGCGGCTGGCCTTTTCTGTTGTGGCGACTGTGCTGTGGAATCTTCTCCCCCTGAGGTGAGGTTAGCCTTGTCATTGTTGAGATTCCAGATGTCCATTAAGACTTGGTTATGCCAGCAAGCCTGGGAACCCCAGGGGACAAAGGAATTAGTGAGGTGGCTCCCTTATTTTAACAACCTTTTATTCTCTGTTTTATTTTGTTTTTTATATTTTTAATGTATTTATTGTCTGTTTTTAGGTTTGTTGTATGTGCCCAAAGTCGCCTATGGTGAGATGGGTGGCTATATAAATTGGTTTAATAATAAATTTAATAAATAAAAATGCATATAGTACTGTCCTACCTTTTCATTTAGGATTTTAAGGTGTTCTACACAGCATTTCCTCCTCTTATTTTCCCCCACAGCAATGCTGTGAGGCATATAGACTTGGAGAGAATGATTGGTCCAAAGTCCCCCAAGGAGTTTCCATGGATGAGGATGAACTAAACCCTGGATCTCCCCATTCCTAGTCCTAATCACTACACCACACTGGCCATACTGTTTGTGAGAGGAATGGTTTGGGAGTTTACCTGAGGTACTCGTAGAGTCCATACATAGGCAAGAAGTCAATATCAGACAGAAACATGTATGGAGTGCTGATGTGTTTCATAGCCACATTCCGCAGGAGATTCACAGGGTAGAATTGTCCCTCTTTATACACTATGTGATATCCAACATTGTGACGGCTCATGAGGACCTCCGAACCTTGAGCGTAGCGCAGAAACTGTTGGGCTTCTGCATCGGAAAGATAGAGTGCCAAACTGATTGGCCCTTCCCAGTGTTTACAAATGGCTTCAAGCATCTGCAATCTAAGAGGAGAGAAAGAAAGAAAAGGTCAGAAAAGGACATTTTCATTATTTTGGATGACATAGGCAAGCCTTTCTGTCTTGGTGTCAATTCCAAAAGGGTAAAGATGTCTTCAAGTCCACCACCCTCTTGGTGACTGTTTGGAGACATCCATACATTTTTCTTGACACTATATGGGAATGGTTTCCCACTCCCTTCCTCTAGGTTGTTTTTTGATTTCCCACCCTGAAATTCCCAGCTGGTCTCCCATCTAAGGACCAACCAAGGATCAACCCTGTTTCAGCCAGATGTTAATCAGAGCAGCTCATTGCAGATTCACTCAAGAAAACAAAATGAAGAAACCCTTTGCTAAACATGGTCTATGTTTAGATTCAAAGGCTAAGAAAGAACTACTGTAGTACAATGCCTATTCTCTCTAGAAAAGAAAAAAAAATAATTTTCAAGGTTTTATATCTCCACTGAGAACAGGGAAAGAAACAAATGCAGCAGCTTTATGTAATTGTTGCAGAGGAAAACATGTGTTTTTCTGAAGCAGTGAAAACAGATAAGCCAAGAAGTAGGAAGGGATAAGTAATTACTTCACTGTTCATTTTATTATATTCATAAGCAATGTAAGGCCAGTGTGGTTAAAATAAAAAAAAAGCTTGGTAAATTAAACAGGCAAAAATACAAGCTCCAGCAAACAAATAATAATAATAATAAAATTCTAATAGTAAAAAGGTTTGTTTTGTGTTAAGGAAAACAAGGCTTTCTGGTTAAAGATGGTGAATCACAAATACCTACAGAAAAGAACATTAATGATGAACACTTTAAACAATTTATTTCCAAGATATGCCATGGGTGTTTAACAAACGCAATACAATCCTGCAATTAATTAACACCACTGCAATATAATCTGAGTGCTTCCAGGAACTCTTTCCATTCTTAGTAAATTCAATTAAAATACATTATTATATTGAAGATATAAATGCTGAAAATGAATATTCTGATGATTTTCTGTGAAGCTGTTTTTATTCAGAGATGCAATAGTTTTCCTGTCTCTTTTGCTTTGTTAATGTCAGGGTGGGAAATGTAAGGTCCATCAAAATCCACATCATTTCAGACATCCTGTGAAATAAGCAGTCTTATTCCCAGAATTCACTCATTTTGGGAATAAGGCTGCTTCAGTGTTGGGCAAGAAAGAGTACGCTTTTAGTGCTATTCTGAGGAAGAGATTAGAAGCATCTGCTGTCTGGTTACATTAACCACTAGTGGTGTGCAAGATGTTTTGAATTTAAAGCATGTTTCAAATGTGAATGGTTTGAATTTGCCTGCCTGCCTTTCCTTTCCCCTTTCCTTTCCCCTTTCCCCCCCCCCCTTCCTTCCTTCTTATAGAGCCACCCATCTCACCACAGTGACTCTGGTCAGTGTACAAAGATTAAAGCTACCATAACAATATAAATCCATAAAAGCCACATCACCAACAAGATCACCTAACTGTCTGGCCCAAATGCCCGGGGGAACAGCCAGGTCTTCAGAGGCTTATGAAAGGGTAACAGGGTTGGGGCCATCCTGATCTCTGGGGGGATGCTATTCCACAGGGCAGGTACAGCCACTGAGAATGCATGGATTCCAGCAAGATGGCATTGTTTGGTGGAGGGGACCCAGAGCATGCCCTCCCTGTTAGGCCTGGTGAGGCAGGCAGAAACAACAATGGCCCCGCAAATAGGTTGGCCCTATGCCATGGACCGCTTTATAGGTGGTATCCAGCACCTAGAATATCTCTACTAACTATAATAATTGGGCCAAGTGATGTTGTGGTTTATTGAAACAAGCCAAGAACAGACTATGGTCTCAGATACTGTCTTGTTTCAATAAGTTACAGTTCAGAAGTAATAAGTAAGTGAGTTGAATTTAAACAAGGAGACAAATGTTTTAGATCAGCTCTGTATGGCCATGCCAAAAAAGACAGAATGAAAGGAGAATTTGTGCTGAAGCCAGTTCCTCCTGTGTAATGTAAACTATAGAAGTTAGCATTACATCCAAACTGGTCCTTGCAAGGTCCAGTTCAAGACAAAGCTCTTCCATGTCTAGTGTATCACAACAATTATTTATCTTAACTGTGGAGAGCTTCAGTACTTCAGAGAAAGCTAGTTATTAATATTTGCTTATACCTATATTGGTTGTTAAGAATTGGGAAATATTCTTGGACAGTTTATTATGATTTAACTTCAATATCTACCACTAGATATTTCTATGGTGCTGCTTAGTTCCTATATGATCTGCCATAATTTATTTCTGATAGTATTTTCCATGAGATGGATGGGATGTTTTTAATGCCTCCTTTTGCCCCCCACCTCCCGCCTTTGGATGATTGAAAAAGTTGTTTCAATAGAGTGTAGATCTTGCAAATATTATACAACATAATATTTGTACTATATATACAGTATTTGTAAGCTATCTTTTCAATTCAAAATACATCAAAAATATTTCAAAGTGTCAGGTAACCTTAAGGCACTCTGAAGTACTCTGAACCAAAACGATCCAGAATCGTTCATGAGCAACTAGACCCAATCCTCAATAGTCATAATCGGACTATAATAATCAGACCTGAGGCTGGGGGTGGATTTTCAAAGAGCAGCAAAAGCTGTAAAGCAAGGATGTTACCTGTGGCCATTTTCTCACTAGTCATTTATAGCATTTTACAGTGTCAACAGCCAGGGTGGTGGAGAGATAAATCCCATCTTCATTACTGATACATCAGCAGGTTGATGCTATAAATTATGGGTGGGAAAATGGTTTGAATCATTCAAAGGACAGCATTATGTAATGGATGGATGCCATAAGAGAAAAGGACCTAAAGAAGACTATTTTTTTCTCAATAACGATATAGAACTGAAACCACTAACTGGATCGTTGCAGGAGGCATGTCGTATTAGATTTCTAACCTGAGGAAAGTACCCACTTAATCAAACCCAGAGGAGATCAGATTTGTCCACATAGACCTGGTATTGTTGGGGCCTTCAGACTAAGAATTCAGTGTAGCAATTCCCCTGATCAACTAACTCCTTTATGGTGTGTGAACTACTGACTTGTGAGTTGGTTCATTTTCCTTACTCCCAACCCTAGAGGGGCCCATAAACTCTTCTGTCTGCTCCTTGGTAGTTTTCTCCTACCTGGCTACGGTAGAAGGGGGGAGTGAAAAAGGAAATAAATAGAGGCCTAACAAGTCCTCTGAGTCTGTCCACAGTGGCACTGGTTCCAACTGTACCACTCTGGATTTTTTATTTTGTCTCCAGAGTGGAGGGGGAATAAAAATAAAAAAGGAAGGAAGCTGGAAATGCAGCCTCCCCAGACACTTCTGGGAGGAATGAAAAAAATGGGCACTGCAACTCAAAAGTTTTGTGTTGTATGCTGCCAGCATCACACTCAGTCTATTGACGGAGAGAAGGAATGGCTGAGTTGTTTGTTGTGTGAACCAGTATTTCTTTGTAAAAGGAGATCTGTGTTAGTCTATGGTGGCAAAAAAACAACGCCTCCCCCAAAAAACCAGGAGTAGTCTGGTAGCACCTCTTCTGACTAACAAATACATTTATTTATGAAAGCTAATGCTTTTTAATAGAATTTGTTAGTCAGAAAAGATGCTACCGGACTCCTCCTGATTTAGTACTTCCTTGGTAGCTATTTTGCAAAACCTGCATATACTTAGTAAAGGCAACTAGTAAATGGTGAAGAAAAACTCTGAGGGGCTGAATATATCAAGCTATTCTTGTTTGTCTACTTTGCAGATCTTTCTGCTTGTTATCAGTGAAGTTTCAGATGAAGTTTGAAAAGAAATTAAAAGAGAGAAAAAACATTTTCAGTTCAGCTTATCAAATTAAATTTTGCCAAACCATAATTCCCCAAATGCTATAGAATAGCTAAAGGCAGCATAAAAAGTGAGGGTTTATTAACACAAACCAGGAGCTTTCATTAATCTAAGTGAAAGAAGAGATTTGTATGGCTCCCACCCTTGTGGCATTTCAGAAACTACTGAAAACCTGCTTGTTCTCCCAGGCCTTAGGATTAGAGTGGTTGTGGCTCCCCTTTTAGTTTAACTTAGTTTTGTCTGGTTTAAGAATGAGGTGCTTGTTCTTCCAGTTGGCCATGCTCTCTTTTTATAAGTATTTTCTTTATTTATAAGCTGCCCAGAAAGAGTCAGAAGCCCTCAAAATTGGATTAAATAAATAAAATAAGAATATCAGAGCTCCAGTTCTATTCTAAGTAAACAAAACACACACACGCACACACAACAAAAAACAAAAAACCCCCCCCCCCCGCAACCTCACATGGATCTCACTGCCATTTATGTATTTTTTCCTATGTGGAAAACTTATAATCAAGAAACATTCAGGAAAAGATAAAAATAGCAATCATAACCATCACCAATGTAAACTTCATTCGCAGACGTTGTCTTCCCAGAGTCAGTTCTGTCCTGAGTAAAAAAATAATTTTGCCCTTCTCTCCCACCATCCTGCTCTTACTATACAGGAAGAAGATAGTGGGCTTTGTTTTATTTTGTTATTGGTCTAGACTTCCCTTCAAAGAGGATACTTATTTCAGTTGTTGAATGAAGGAAAAAGAGCTCTCATGGCAAGAAAACAGAAGGCTTTTGTTTCTGAGTCTGAGCGATTTTTCAATATGTCTGGAAGCTTCTCTCTATTCTGGTTCGTCTCTCAACGTTTCTCTTGCATGTTCAGATCTTAACTTGTATTTTTTGCAACTGTGCACCTTAAAAGTTGGATACTACCTTAAAACCAGTTTCTGCCATCAGGCCTGGAATCCAGAGGAAGCAGATTATAAAGTACTGCGAACAGATTGATCTAGCCCTCTCTCTATGCTGCATGCCTTGCTAGACCAAACACATTAGCTCCATCAATTATTGGTATTTCAGCCTGTCCATCCTAATGACAATACACAGAAAATGAGTGCAACTGCCGTGGGAGGAATGTAATTTGAAAAAAACAAAATGGTTTAAAGAAGATTGAAAAAACAAAACAAAACAAAACAAAACAACCCACACTGAAATGCATAAGAGGAAATAAAATGGCTAAGTAATTCTTTAGCAGGAATGTTGTTTGTTGATTTTACATGAAAGAAAGAATCGCCAACTCAGATAAATAACATACCACCCATGGATGCGATAGAATAGGATAGGGCTAACAGAATGAGTAGTATATTTGTCTTCTCTGAATAAAGGAAATGCCCCCATCCATCAATACAAATTCTCCACCTAAATCCAAAGTGAATTAAAATCCTGGAGGAAAAACATACATATGCCTGCTGGATTTACTAATTCTCTGTGGCATTCACACAGTGTTTGACATTCTCTTGAAAGGTTTACCAAACAACAGCAAAACCCCCCACCCACCCAAGAAATGTTTCCTATATTAAAAATCAATAGAGCAGGGATTGGTGAACATTGCCAAAAAAAAAGGATGCTAAGGCAGAGATGGCAGCTGACAGTGCCATGGTTTCTATAAGCTCGGGATTGTTTCTTCAGTATTTAATAGTTGTTTAGTCAGACCTGAATTCCTAGAGTTTCTGTGTGCAGGAACATTGATCCTTTATATAGTCAGCTGGGGGAATGGGGATCTTGTGCACATCACAGGTTACATTCTGCCAGTGCAACTCTGATTCCTTCTTTATATGAAAACATATAAAAGATATCTTTTCCTTCCCCATACAAATTACAGCATCCAAAGGAAGCCAGGTTGTGGGAACTGAGATGGAAGGATTCTGCTGGTGGTTTCATGCAAGATTCTCTTGGTTTTTGATATAATGGATGCCCATTTTATTGTTTCGGTATAATTGACTGGCTTCTCAGAATCACATGGTATAGAAATATGTTGGGTCAGCTAATTTATCGGAAAAAAAAAAAAAGAAAGAAAAGGACAGTTGGATCTTTCCTCAACAAAATCCTTGTCTGTACTGAAAGGGAACATTGGGTACAATCGTGGCAATGCTTTTCAGTACTGTAGAATAATTTATCCTACAGATGACCTCACAACTCTGGCTTCTTTACTGCCACTTTTCCATGTGTAACAACAATAGTAACTATCCTTCCTGCCTGCCTCTGAAATGCTTTTGAAATCTGCATCTCATTACAAGGTAGAGAGTTGACCTGGTGAACAGGGGAGGGTCTTGCCTGTTCCAAAAATTGGGAACCTTCTTAGACTCTGGAGGTAGGGCCTTCTCCAAACTAGTTGGCCTTGAGATGAGGATTACAGTGTACCTGTACAAACAAGTGTTGCCTTTGACAGATATGTATTTCTTACAGCAATATCAAGGTCAGTGGTAACTGTAGGACAAAGAACTAATTTAGAAAAAAATAATACAACTCAGAACAAGGGAACTATGGTGCAGAAGCAAATAGAGAATTAATGAAAATATCTCCTTGAGTCACCATTCAATATTACTTGGTTATTCCTTTTCCTAAGTAATTCCATATATCTAAGCTAACTGCAAACAAGATCAATCCATTCCAAACACATAACTGTCTCAACTGTACATCATCACAAAAATTTCTCACTCTAAGCCTGATCCCCCACTTCTTGTTAGTCAAAACTGTTGGTACTTCAAAAGAAAGGAAGCAAACTGTGGTATTTACTGCCAAAGAACTTAAAACGTCCTTTCTTCCACCAAGAGATGACAATGTGAAATTTTCTGAAATCACCAACAGCAAGTAATTGCATTTGCATAAATTCTCTATAACATAACATTACATTCCTTACCTGTCCATCGAGAGCTGTGCCACCAATGTCACATCAGTGTTATCTGTAGCAAACTCATACTCGTAGTGTAAAAAATATAGGTGAGTCCGGTGGACAGTGAAACGCTCCCGTCGAAACTCATAACACAAGTCATCTTCATCCAGCTCAGATAGTTGTTTCTGTAGCTAAAATGAATACACAAAAACACCCCCCCCCAGGATAAAACTATAAACAAGAGAATACTACTAAGGATCTTTTATTGAAGAACAACTATAAAATCAGATGTCTTCTATGATATCATGTCTACTGTACGTATAACCCCCCTCCCCCAAAACCATAAAGTGAATTTACAAGCCCTAAAATGAAGTGCTACTTCACATATGTGAGTGGGGATTAACAGAGGACAATGTTTTCTCTTTTTGCCCTCCATAAACAGTTGCCAGCTTCTTTTGGCAATGGAGTGATCAGGCTGTTTGGATAAGCCCAAGATCAAACTTACCTGCAACTGTTTAACTAAGTGTCTCAGACAGCAGATTCTTGGGGAAACTGATGGTAATTCCTGACAGTTCCTCCTAAATTCTGTGGGGAAATTGAGCTATATGTTGTGGTCCATCCTGCAGTCCTATATTAATCTGCTGCCTCTGGGTGTAAGTATTATAGCATTCAGATTCTCTCTGTAGAGAATGGGGACCACCTTGCCCTTTGGCTCAGCCAGCAAAATGTCTTGTATAGCCTTGGGTGTGAGTCACTCTTGGCAGTTTACCAGATGCCCTAGTACCTGTCTTGCTGACTGCAAAAGGTCTCCTCCATTTGCACGCCACTTTTTAAGAGATCCAGCTGAAGCCAACCTATGGGCATTTCATTTATGCTTGAGAGAGCAAAGCCCTACTATGGGGAAAGCTGACTGCAGCAATGGACAGAAAAACAGGAAGAGAGCTAGATAGGCATGTTCTCCTCCTAAGCCTTCTCTGCTGTTGCCCCTACCCTATGGAATATTTTTTTCCCCAGAGGTGAGGCGGGCCCCCACTCTCCTGGCCTTCTGGAAAGGGGTGAAGACCTGACTCTGCCAACTCGCGTGGGGCATGAGGTAACCAACCCTGGGGGTGGCTGGCACCTGCTCCTGTAGGTTAATACTTTTAATTTACCATCAATTCCTTGGAATACATTATTTATTTATGTACATTGTTTTTATTGTATTTTAATTAGGATTTCTTTTTTTATTGTAAACAGCCCAGAGTCATTCTTTGAGTGAGATGGGTGGTGACTAAATTTGAAATATAAATAAATAAGCCAGCCTCCTTCTCAAAACTCACACACAAGTAAATATGTCATCACATAAAATATCGGAACTAGCATTTGCTTGTAGCCATGCAAATATTTTGCGGACATAACTGTTATTTGGTTACCTGAACTACAGATTGCATGGTGTGTGATAAAGAAATCATAGCATTTCTAAGAATTATTAAAGCAACAAAAAGCTCAATCAAATTCTTTAATGTGCTAAGAAGGATAGTGTAAAATGGCCTCCTTCCTACAATTTTTTGTGAAAATGCCTATCTTAGAACTGCTGGACTTTGTGGGCAGGGAGGATGGCACATGATGTGAATCTCTGCAGGGACAGTGCATTGCTGTGATGGAAAACCGTTCTCCTTCACAGCAGTATCCAGGAGGAAAGTCCCCAGGGCTTCTTGCTAAGAGCAGCATTTTATTTTTCCTCAGACATTGAGAGGTGTGAAAATAAAAGGGCAAGTACAACACAAGAATTTAGAAAGCTGTCTTATACCAGATTAGACTTTTACCCATGCAAGATCTCAGAGAACATTTTTTATCTCCTTCCCATCCCTCCAAATAGGAGATGCCAAGAATGGAACCTGGCATTTCCCTCACATCAAGCCTGCTCCATGGCTGATGGGGCACCAATGGAAGGGGAACTGAAATTGCTTTTGACTCAAGTAACCCTAGTCAGGGATTCCAAATCTTTATCCCTGTATATTTACCTTCAATTATTCACCATGCTAGCTAAGGAAAATGGGAGGTATAATCAAACACCATCTAGGGACCAAACACTGAGAATTACTGTGTTAGGAAATGAAATATACATTCTAACTCATATTTACACACACACACACACAACCAAAGCAATATCATGTCCTGCAGTAGCACCCTAAGAATTCTTGTGGTGGAGACCAAAGTTCCCTCTAATTTAGTACTCCATTTCAAAGAGCCAACCTTTATTTGTTTAATTTATGTCCCATCTTTTTATCGTCAATGACCGAAATAAAGTTGCTGTCTTTTATCTTTTTATCCATACAGAACTACAGTGGGGCAAAAAAGTATTTAGTCAGCCACCAATTGTGCAAGTTCTCCC